TCTAGCATGAAACCTCCTGGGGTCACAGAGGAGCAAATAAGACTGAGAGCTTTCCCTTTCTCTCTCAAGGATGCAGCGAAGGATTGGTTATACTACCTGCCTGCAGGTAGTATCACCACGTGGGCACAATTGAAAAAGAAATTCCTGGAGAAATTTTTCCCCGCGTCCCGGGCTGCAAGTTTGAGGAAGGAGATCTGCAGCATCAAGCAGTACTCCGGGGAGTCATTGTACGATTTTTGGGAAAGGTTCAACAAGTTGTGCGCTAGATGCCCACAGCATCAGATTAGTGAGCAACTGTTGATCCAGTACTTCTATGAGGGGCTCCAGTCAACTGACAGGAGTATTATTGACGCTGCGAGTGGAGGAGCCCTGGCGAACAAGACACCGAGGGAAGCATGGGACCTTATTGAAGCCATGGCAGAAAACTCTCAGCAGTTCGGCTTCCGTGAGAGCAATCCTACCCGTAGGGTAAATGAGGCAGAGACGTCATCCATCCAGCAGCAACTGTCAGAGTTGACGTCTGCAGTCAGGCAGTTGGCCATGAGAGACACACCGCGAGCAAAGGTGTGTGGAATCTGTACTAGCATGGACCACTGCACGGATTCGTGCCCCATTCTGCAAGAGGACGGGGCGGAACAGGTAAACATGGCCGGAGGCGTGCCCGCGCCCCGCAGGCAATATGACCCGTATTCCAACACATACAACCCCGGTTGGAGAGACCACCCCAATCTCAGTTACGGGAACAGGCAGCAAGGGTCATTCCCGAATCGTCCACCAGGATTCCACCAACCTTGGCAACCAAAATCTCAACCCTCATCCTCCAATACAGGAAGCTCCTTGGAGGACCTAGTCAAGAACCTGGCCACGACTACTACCAACCTGGCCACGACTACTACACAGCTTCAACAGGAGATCAGATCCTTGGCCGCGAATACCGCGCAGCTCCAGCAGGACACCAAAGCTGACAAGAAGGACCAAGATGTTCGAATAAGTCAACTGGCAACTGCCATCAACCGCTTGGAATCTCACGTTTATGGGAAACTGCCATCGCAACCCGAGGTAAATCCCAGGAATGTAAGTGCCATGACGCTGAGGAGTGGCAAGGAGCTGGAAGAACCTAAAGTGAAAAATTCAAAAAGCAAAAGCGAGGAGGAGATAGAAAAGGAAATTGAGGAGGAAGGACGTGTTCGTGAAGATCCTAAGGTAACCTCCACCTCTCCACTCACTATTAGCTCTAACTTACCCCCTTTTCCTTACAGGTTGGAAAAGACAAGGAAAGTAGAGAGGGAAAAGGAACTTTTGGATGTATTCAGGAAAGTAGAGATTAACATCCCCCTACTAGATGCAATCAAGCAAATACCGAAATATGCCAAATTTCTGAAGGACCTGTGCACCCACAAGAGGAAGCTAAGGGGAAACGAACGAGTGGCGGTGGGAGAAAACGTGTCAGCTATACTCCAGAGGAAGCTCCCACCAAAATGTGGAGACCCAGGTATGTTCACCATTCCCTGCAAGATAGGAGGTACTCCAATTAGGAAAGCAATGTTGGATTTGGGGGCGTCAATTAATGTTATGCCTAAGACAATCTATGCATCTCTAAATCTTGGCCCGTTAAAAGGCACAGGCATTATAATCCAACTTGCAGACCGTACCAATGCTTACCCGGAAGGGTTAGTTGAAGATGTTTTGGTACAGGTCAATGAGTTAGTTTTTCCTGCAGATTTCTATGTCCTAGACATGGGGGATGAAAGGGCACTAAATCCGTCTCCTATTCTGTTAGGTAGGCCATTTTTAAGCACTGCTAGGACGAAAATAGATGTAAATGAGGGTACCTTGTCGATGGAGTTTGATGGGAAAATTGTAAATTTTAATATTTTTGAGGCGATGAAGTACCCAGATGAGACTAACTCTGTTTATGCTTTAAGTGTTGTTGAGCCCCTTGTACAGGAAATATTTGAATTGGATGGGGTTGATGCACTGGCAGTGGCATTGACCAAACATCTTGAGTTGGGAGCAACTCTTGATGTAGAAATAAATGATGAGCTAGACCACGCTGTTGGAGCACTGCATTCGCTCCCACCAATTTCCCCAAGGTATGAGCTTACTTCTGTTTTTGTACCAGAAACTCAGGCAAAATTGTTGCCTTCTATTGTGCAGGCGCCTGAGTTGGAGCTCAAACCTCTCCCAAAGCATTTGAAGTATGCTTTTCTCGGGGACAATGAGACACTGCCAGTCATCATATCTGCACACCTGTCACCAGGGCAAGAAGATAGACTAATTCGCCTTCTTCGAGATCATAAGGAGGCGATTGGGTGGAGTGTAGCAGATATCAAAGGAATTAGCCCCTCCTTATGCATGCATCGAATCCGGCTTGAGGATGATGCAAAGCCAGTTAGACAAGGGCAACGGAGATTGAACCCACTAATGATGGAAGTGGTCAAGAAGGAGATACTTAAACTCCTAGAAGTTGGAATAATTTTCGCCATCTCAGATAGTCCCTGGGTGAGTCCCGTGCAAGTAGTCCCGAAAAAGGTGGGAGTAACAGTTGAGGAGAACCAAGAGGGTGAGATGGTCCCGGTGAGGAAACCCACAGGATGGCGTCAGTGCATTGACTATCGGCGTCTGAATGCTGTGACAAAGAAGGACCACTTCCCTCTACCTTTTATTGATCAGATGATAGAAAGGTTAGCTGGCCGTGTCTATTACTGTTTTCTTGATGGTTTCTCTGGTTATTTTCAGATCGTAATAGCACCAGAGGATCAGGAGAAGACTACCTTCACCTGTCCCTTTGGTACATTTGCCTACCGGAGGATGCCTTTCGGCCTCTGCAACGCCCCAGCAACTTTTCAGCGGTGTATGGTAAGTATATTTTCTGAATATGTAGAAAAAATTATTGAGGTGTTTATGGATGATTTTAGTGTGTATGGAGATAGTTTTGATGAATGCCTTGATAATTTAGCTTTAATTTTGAAAAGATGCATTGAGACAAATTTGGTTCTAAATTGGGTTTATGTCAGGGGAATATATGATCTAGCTTAAATAAACCCTCATAGCGTGTTTATTGGTTAGGATTGGGCCTTTCTAATTATTAATGCAATCTGGAAATTAAATCCTACGGTCGTACCTAGGGTTGTTTTTTGGTTAGAGAAATAGCTAACGGTCGTACCTTAGCTATCGATAAATTAAGGAAGGGTTGGTTGTTTAGCGCGTGCGAGACAACTATAACCAATCTATTAGTAAATGTTGGAATTACCTCTGAATCAATGATCAGTTGCATGAACCATTTCTGAAGTACACCATTGGCTAGAGTTTCTCTTAGTTATTTCTTTTAATAAACTATTTTCTGCATTTAATTTGTTCAGTTGGCATTTGATACCAAATCCCCCCCATTAATCTTGATTTGAAAAGAAACAAATATCTCTCCAGTCCCTGAGGAGACGACCCTGCTTACCACTGTCTACTAGTTAGGAAATTCAGTTAAATAGTTAATTCAGGTATATCGGATTAAGCAAACTCTTCGGGAACAGGGTGAATCAAGTAACCCATTGCACACCTAGAGTCCCTGCTCCAGTACTCGAATTGATTACTGACTGTTTCAGGTGGTAGTTAGGTTTTATTTATTATTATTGCACAGGTTCGGCACCTGTCAGTCGCTTATATAGTTTTTCAAATAATCTTAGTAAACTAGAATTTCACAGCTATCCTAAATAAATTTCATTACTTTAATTTTCAAAATAACCTGATTAAACTAAATTTTAACCATAATCCTAAATATACTTCAATTTATTACTTTTTAAAATAAATACATTAACCTAACCTCATTATTCATGTTCCTAGATGCCTTTGTATTGATAATACAACATGATTTTTTACTTAAATTTTATTATTATTATTAAATCATTATCAAATGCATAATAGTTGTTAATTAAAGAAAGATCCATGTATTCTAATAAGCAGGAATTAATATAATGAAATATATTTATAAATTATAAATTATATAAATATTTATATAATGAAATATACAATACATATTACAAATTGAAATATTATATAATATAAACATCATATTTATAATATTAAAATATTTATAATTAATATTAATGTATATTATATATATTAAATACTTATATATTATATATTTTTATATTTATTTATACATTTTATAAATATTTTATTATATTCAAAAAATATTTTTATATATTTATAATATATTTATATAAATATTATATACTATATAAATTATATATTATATATATTATATTATATATTATACATTTATATTAATATACATAATATTAATTTTACATTTATACATAAAATTAATACATTTATATATTCATATTAATTATATTAATACTTTTATACATAATATTAATATATATTTATAATATATTAATTTATACATTTATATAATATTAATTTATAATAATATACACATAAATAATATACACTTATACATTTATAAATATATTTAAAATATGAATTATAGATAATATAATACATTTATACATTTTTATATAAATATATAAATATATTTATTTGTAAATATTTATAAATGTATTATAAATGATATCTTACAAAAGTCCTACGTACAGGAATTCTTCATCTATATCAATCTTTTCTCCTCAAATTTTTTTATTGATTCTAAAAACTAATAATTTTAATTAATTCTTCTACTAATTCTATATGAATCATATTATATAGTAATTCTATAATTTTATATAAGTCGTAGTCGACAACACTATAGAACCATCACCACTAGTTAACTCTTTTTGCTGCACTTCAATATTATAAAATTATAAATAAATTTAATACACTTTGCATTAACTATTAATTAATATAGCATAACAACAACACACTATACAAAAAACATGTTTAATTAATATCATTTCATGACAGTATAATATAACATGTAAATACATAAATAAGCTACATGTTTCATTAACATAATATAAATAATGTAATTAATAACTAAATTAATAATAATTTTAAATACTAACCTGTACGAAAAGATTCGTAATCTGAAAAAATTACGCCTTTATCAACACCGCAATTGATTAGCACGGCGGCCTTACGTAACACGGCGATACCAACAGCTGGTCCCTGATGTTAGCCCTCGGCTTTCACTTCAACAGCGAATCTACTTTTCTGTACAAATAAATATTATTATCCACCAATCAACCTGAATTTTTTAAAACTAACTAATATCATTTCATTTATAATAATATAATTAATTTATATTATGCTGCACCAATTAACCTGATAATGAAGCTGCCTGTTCACGCAATAATTTTTGCAAGCTCTCAAAAATAACCGAACACTTTTTCTACTACTATTTCTACAACTATCAATCTCTCAAAAAAGTTTCGGCCAGTAGATTTTTAAGTAGCCAGCAAATCTGCTTAACCCTAGAAACCATTTGAGAGAGCAAAGATACTTTCTTGTCGCCAGCAAATCTGCCTGACCACCGAGAGGTACTGCTTGAGAGAGCAGCTACTTCACAGATTCCGATTACAAGAAGAAAGAGCACCTGGTCTCTTAGAGCAAATTTGAGAGTGAGAAATGGGAGTGAGCGAGAAATGAAAGTGAGCAGCCGTGCCAAACCATTTTATAGCCAATTGAATCAAATCTAGCCGTTCATTTGAACGGCTAGTATTTTTTTTTGGAAAAACCTCACTGCGTCCGTGTTGATTTGACGCAGCCTTTCAATAATCCCGTGGCTCCGTCACATGGCCTTGTCGGCCTTTGTCAGGCGCCTGACAGTCAAATGTCAGGCACCTGACGCCTTTTGACTGTCAGGCGCCTGGCGGTTTTTTTTCAAAAAGCCAGTCTGCAGCCGTGCCCAGTCAGCACGGCTGCAACAGGCTTTTCTGACCTGCTGACTTTTTAAAAAAAAAAATCAGCACGGCCGCTATAGTTTTAGAAAACCCCATGTCAGAAATACATTTGGCGGATTGTTTTTTTTTTAACGTATAATCTAAGAAATTAGCCGATTAGGTGGGAGGTCGGGTGACGTCAGGCACGGCGGTGATGACGCATTCTTGTTAGCGTTATGTACTTCTTTTTTTTTCCAAACGTGTTAGCGTTATTTACTTGTTGCAAGAAAATTTAACGCTGGTAGGGGTTAATTAATGGTGATTAAAAGTTTTTAAATTAATTAATGACTAATGAATGATAATTAAGGTGGTGACAGCTTGTTTTTAAGGTAAAGTGGGCAGAATAATTGGTTGGGTTCTAGGGGGTGTTAGGCGTGATGGAGACTGGGGCGCACAGAGAATGATGGCGGATAATATTACTAATTGTTTAAATTTTAGTTTCAACATTTTTTTATATTGAATTTTTTGGGTTGTCGTAAAGAGGACAAAGGACAAGGTGTGCGGTGCCCCCCTATGCCATCTCCTGTCTACATTAGTATCATAATTAATCATAACATATAGTCTTTTTGATCAGCTCGGGATGAGGATAAACTCATGATTTCTGGACAAGGCTCACACGTTTGGTGATAAAAGTATACTAGGATCATAATTAGAGAAGTCCCACTAAAAGCGAGCAAATACAAAAGATAAGGTTTGAATTAGGATGGTAAACGTGGTCGAATGGAGCGGACATTTTATCTAATCATAATCAAATCGAGGCTCTATTTAATTTTATCAAACTTAAACTCGAGTTCAATCTTAATGAGCTCAAGCAAACGAGTCGAATCAAGTCAATTTTTTATCTAATTGAGTTGAAAATCGACCTAATTTTACTAAACTTGAACTTAAGTTTAAGTTCATCGAATTTTGACTCAAATTACTCAGTGTTCACAATCAACTCATGACCAACTTGATTCGTATGCAACTTTAATTTGAATTGCCTTTTTTTTTTGAAGTTTTTATAAAAACATGCTATAGCAACGATTTGATATATGTAAAATAAAAGATAATTAAAATATATATTAAGTAAAAATATGAAAAAAAATTGCGATCCAAACAAGGATCAATTGTTTTGCTAACTTAACATTTTCTACTTCGTGGTTTTTAGATAGTTTATTTTCGTATTCGTATTCCCTTTGCAGCCTAGAGGCAAACGAACAAATAATTGGTGCCAAGATTTTTTTTTCCCTGGGTTGTCCACCTATTTTTCTTTAAGCTTTTCAAAAATTAAGATTAATATTCCAATAGAGGAGAGAATGAAGCGCGCGACTAATTAGTAATTACACGGGAGAGCCCAGTCGTACCCCCAAGTTGATGGCGAATAGTCACGCAACCAGGTTGCTAAGGAGGTAACTATTATTCAAGAGGTTTGGCTAACGACACTCATTAAGAGCGTTAAATTATATATAAAAAATGAAGTCAATTTAGAAAAGTATTTAATGAAGAGAGTCCAATAAAGTCATTATGTACATTTACACAATCAGTGAGACATAATTTACCTGTGCTGAAGAGAGAGATCCACTAGAAAATTCCTATTAAATTAAAGCTGTCTCTTTTTTCTTTTAAATAAAAAATTTGGATGGATACAGTTTCGTTCGTTATCATGATCATAAATCATTTACATGAATTCTTATAGATCCTTCGTCACCATAATAATATTCACATCGACAACAAGATTTAAACATACAATCTTTTGTGAAAAAAAAATGATCCGTTCTTATGAATCGAACAAACTTGTACCTGTGGTATAAAAGTTTAGCCCAAGATTGTGGGGCTTATGTTTACGGGGAAAAAATATATTAATTTGGAAACTTCAGATTGCTTCTACTGTGAGGAAAGACTGCTGTTCCCAATCAGATTGACAGACAAGAACCAATGAAAATAAGGGTTCCAGCAGCCGTGTGGAAGCAGGTGGCTGTCTGACTTGGTTGATATTATGATGTTTGTGAGCAGCCGCTGCTAAGTTCCCGTGTTTTGGGGGCTAATCTGAATGATAAGGCGTGATACTCGTGCGATACTATAACTTGTCTTGCTAATGGCGACTTCTTAACTCGAATGTTTACATGGTCATGTCCAAATTGTTGACTCTTTGTTTCTCCAATTAGTAAGACAATTAAAGTCGTGATCTGGGAAAGGTCGGCTCTGATCGTCTGCATTCTTTTAGAAAGAACATTTTGACCACTCAATACATTGCATGTCATTGGAGGATGACTGTTTAATTAGAAACTATAATGAGATCCACTAATTATTAATTAAATAAACCGAGATAACTTGAGTTAAATTCTCCCCTTCTCTTCTATTGATTTTTTCCCCCATACATACTTTTTTTGGGTCAAAGATGGATGAATAAGGTCGAACACCAAAGCATATCCCATGACCAAATATTGCTCTCAAATGGCTTGATTCATTGCATTGAAAATTTTGAAAAAAAAAAAAAAATTTGGTTTCACATGGACGTGCATATCAAAATTGACTTTGTATCATTCTTGCTAGGATGAAATTTGGACAAGCTGATGAGGGATTTAATCATTTATTGTACGAATAATTTTAGAAAGTGATAAGAGTGTAAAATATGGAGGAAAGAAGAAAACACAAAGAAGTGGCGATGCTATTTGCATTATATAAACTACCACAACGCTGTTGGATTAAGGAATTTTGCAGCACTTTTCACTAAACTATTGAAAAGAAAGCCGATCACCTAAGAATAAGAATCTCTGGAGAAACTTTTCATCTAGCCCAGCACAAATAATTTGCTGAAGTTTTTTATTTTTCTTATTCTTATAAAGAGCATATAATACTATGAAGGTAAGAATCACAGAATATTCCTCATCTCCACCTCCACCTCCACCTCTTAATTAAACAAATACACCTATTAGTGAAGACCTAAAACAACTCGAATGCCATATATGCATGATCATCAAAAAAATAAAAATGAAGTGATATGGTTCGTTCCCTTCTTTTTTTTTTTTTTGGTTTCTTTTAATTTCTCATACACAACCAAGATGTATGTATATACATTGAACACTTGCAGTTTGAATGGATAATCAACCTCGCAATTCTTGTCTTCTTTTTCAAACTCCAACATTTACTTTGTCGTACAGCAAGAAATTTGCAAAGTTTTTTTTTGAATAGATTAAGCGCTTATTTAATTACTTCTGATTGAGCTATTCCTGTTAGTTTAGTTGGCTCTGTTTAAATCAAAGTCGTAATCATATCCTTGACTGCGAATTATTGCATACTTAATTACCGCCCTCCAGAGTTGGTGTTATCTTCTTCACTAGCCCGCCCTTTGTTCAAGAAACCAGCTTAATTAGTTAAGCTAATTACGCAAGGCCACATGCCAATCCTTGGCACCGCATGTCTAATATAAGTAGAGATAGAGATAGATTGGTGGTCTCTCCATCTCTAGTGATGCAATATCTGAAGTTATAGGAACTTTCCCAGTTTGACATTATACTAATTAGCTAGGCTTATCATTCTTGATAGCATTAACGTTTGACATTTTCATATGATGATGCTGAGATGCTTTTGGTGAGAGAGACAGACAGATCTCTGATCATACCAAACTTTGCTTTGTAGGAACATAATTAATTAATTATTGAACCAAGAAGCATTATTGAATGTTTTTTCATTTGGTAATTTGCCGGTAAATTTACGTTACTCTTTAACAAAAATAATTAGCAAATAAACACGATTTGTGTAGGTTCATTTGGATGCTTGCTTGTTTCATATCAGGGCTCATGATATATGCGCAGAATAGATATCAATCTTCGTTCTTTTGGATAAATATAAACTGAAAAGGCAAAACAAAAAAATTGTGAATGAGGAGAGGAGAGTTATAATTAGCTAGGGTTTCTGGCCGTGTATAATAGGTTGGATGTAAAATCACGTTGCTTGGAAAAGAAGACCACCATCTGATCATGCTATATTAAATAGACTAACGTAAAAGAAGAAGAAGAAGATGATGATGATGATGAGTGATATGGTTGGCATCAGGTAATGGAACTTCCTATTTTCTGATTTGAGGAACACAAGTGTCGATTGTCAAGCGGAAATGAGATTTGTTCAAAGGAGTTGACTTGGCATTTAGGAATACCCGAAATCATCAGCAAGAACTTAGATTTATACGGCCATGGGTTTGGAGACAGGCAGGCAGGCAAGTATGCTCATCGTATAAACAACCTCACGACGAACGAATGAGGAATGGTCAACTAGAGGTGGCAAAATGGGCGGGATGGGCGGGATTTGCTTGGGTTTGTGATGGAACCGAGTCATATGGGTTTGGGCCCAACCTTACCCATATGTGTTTTGGGACTAACTTGGGCGGGATCACTTTGGGATGGGTTTAGATTGATCCCGCCCAATACCCAAATCTATTTTCTACATATTTTTTTTCCTTTAATTCATTTTTATTTTTTATATAATTTTAATATTTTTGATTTATTAAATTTTTTTTAGTTTTATTAAATAAACATGCAAGTACTTTATACTCAGGATTCCCATAAAAAATTGGATTAACAAATAAAGGAAAAAATAGATATACAGTCATATTCCAACATATATCAAGATGACCAAGGTACTTAAGGTGTTGAATATTTATCCTCATCATTGTCCAAAGATGACAGGTCTAAATTGACTGAAATGTTGA